TTTTGGATGGAAATGCAGTACAATTTTGCCCAACGTGATCAATAAATGGCTTTTTAAATGCGAATTTTGAAAGTCTGGAAATAATGTTGAAGCAACCCATGCTTTTCAAAATGTCAAGATCAGAGAAAAGTCACCCTATGCAGGTGGACTCTCTCTAAAATGATCTTGTCTGCAATTATTTTCTCTGTATAACGATTTTTTTCCGGCCTCGTAGGATTTTTTTCCCCGTCTTTTATGGGGTTATCTTCAACGAAATACTCGCTGCGACGAATTTTTTCTGGTCCTTTGATTTCCCTTGTAAAGAGAGTTTACCTGTATTCACTTGAAATCGACCATCGCGCTTCATTCGTTAGACTGAAGAAAAAAAATTGGACAACATTGGAGGCAGTGCTGGGAAATCAAAAGAAACTGTTGGATAAGACTCCGACAAAGACAAGGAATTTAAGTAGAAATGAATGAGACCTAACAATCGGCAGGGAGATTCTCAGTAGAATCTCCAAAAGAAACAAAGATATAATTCTAACAGAATTTTCTGCTCAAAATTGAACAAGAACTTGGATATTTTCAAAAATAAGAGCTTTCAGAATTCCACACTCAGTACGATTCAAACTTTTCAAAGCACCGCAATTTTGAATGCTTCCACGACATATAATTACGAATGTGCGACACAAACGTAAAAAGAGGTTCTGAATTGAAAATAGCTCAATGTGGGAATTCCTTAGAATTTCCCACTGCTTGGAATTCCGAACATTCCAGTTGTTAGGTGATTAGACTTTCGGTATTGATAGCATTAGTAAGACACCTGTGTCTTACAGAAACCATTCACAATTTTCGTGCTTCATGGTTTTTACGAAAAAAAATCTAGGGAAATATGCCGAGATAGAGCAAGAAAAAAAGTGAGTTAAGGTGGACTGATTGGCGTTGAATCGCCGGGGCGGAATCCGAGGAATCGAGGTGCGGCCTTGGTTTGAAAAGAATATAAAAACCTCGACCGCGCCGCAATTTTTTCCGCAACGCCTACACCTTATACACTGTAATCGCTTCCATATAGCTGCGACTTCGCCTATAATATATCTCCTATATACAGCCTTTCAAAATAATACCCAAGAAATGCAACACCCAAGTGGGCTGAAATGATTCTCTCTTCTTTTTTTTTTAGGGTGTTTCTATTTCCTTCCTAATTTCATTTGTGTCAGCGTGACACGTGCTGGTTTCTTTCGTGTGCTTCTCGCTGGAATGGGTATAATAATAAGCATAGAATGACGGATGGGAGCGACTTGCCTTGGCTCGTTTTCTAATTTCGAGGAAAGAATGCGTTCGTGATTCGGAATGATGATGGGATTTGATTCGTCGGTTTTAATTTATTTTTTGTATGTCTTTATTTTTGTAAGGTCGTGTGCGGATTACGAGGAACTGCAGCCTTTGGGAACGTCTTCGAGAAGCAGAAGGATTTTGCAGCAGAACGCGCATCGGAAAAACGAGGAAGTGAGTGAAATTATTTCGTTTCTTTTCGACTTTTTTTTGTGGTCATGTGAATAATCCGGAACAGCGAAATTTAATCTCGTGCGTGGAAGATTTATAGGCATTAATGGTTTACAACATTTTAATCAAGCACCGATAGCAATGTTCTAATCTAATGCTCAGTTGCTTTTAAATGACGACGACAATCTTTGTTTAAGAAATGAACTTTGTCTATACTTTCGAGGCAATATTTTCCTACGCAATTTTCTAAAGCGTAAACTTTTAAATTCTTTTTTGAGTTTTGTGACTCCCACTGACATCTATCCACACTCCGAAAAAAGTCTTTCGTCGTAAGGAATGAAGTAGAAAATGTTTTATTGTACTGTAGCTACAAAACTAGGAAAAGAAAAGGAAAAGAAAATTAAAAGGCACCTTTTTATGGGTTTTAATTCTTTAAAATTACCGTATAGTAACTTCCATCAAAGGATATTGTAGATAAGCAACTCTTCATTACCTTTTTTTTGATTTTCGGGGTGATTTCTTGTGTTCGTTGAAGCGCATATTAAAATGTGAGAGTTAGAAAAAAAATTAAATTACCTTTTTAAGGAGATAGTTCTTGAGCAATCTTATGCTCATTTTGCTGAACTGGAATTATGATTGAATTTTTCGATTCATTCTTTCTTACTTCCATAATAATGAAGGATATCATAAAGTGATCAAGGCAAGCGTGAAGATTAACAGCAAATAATTCTCTATGTTAACCTTTTCAAGTCAATCTCTGAATTCCTTTAGAATCAATGCTTGGAAAAGTACCCAAACTATTAGGTTTTTTTCCCCTCAAATTTCCGTAATTCGGAAATTTTGGGGGACCTTTTGGTTATCACTTTATTTATGCAGGAAAAGAGAAAAGCTAAATAAATGTAATTTGATGTGTTTTGAAGGAATTGAGGGAATAATTGAGCCAACGAATCCTTGCTTTCAAGTTCAGCTTCCTGTCAACTCATTCAAGAAGCAGCATTTGAGACTCAGATCACCAATTGCAATTTTTTGTAATTCTTTCTTTCTTTCCCCTCAACAAAAATGTTTTATTCCCAATTGCTGAAAATCTCCTTGACTCGAATTTTTTGCTGGTCCCGTGAAGTTCAACTATGGTTAAACTGTGTAGTAGAATTTTTGTAACACATACAGCATCATAAAGAATAACTGATTGCGTCAAAGTCGTTCGTTTTTTTTTGGGTACCTGTGAAATACTGTGGTCACAATTTTTAACGGGTCCCATTACAGTTGAAGTCTTTTTTTTTGATGTCCCCATCTGAAATTACCTTAGAAACAATGCATTATAAACCTCTCTAACTGGAAGGATTTCCCTCTCAAACCTTTTTGACTCGGATTTTCTGATGTCTTTTGGCCACTACTTCCTTGACACAGGAATGAGAAAAGCAATACAAGAGTAACTTGATTTATCTTGCAAGAAAGTTCAAGATAAATGTGGCAAATGAACCAATGCCTCCAAGTTCAGCATCCTGTCAACTCATTTCAGAAACAATTCAAGGCTTGGAATATGAACATGTACAAGTTCCAGCAAATTTTCAACCTTTTTTTCTCTCTCTCAAAAAAATCCTCGCCTGCCTTTAACTGGAAAACTCCCTCCCTATATGGAATATTTTGGCTGGCACCTATAGCTTGAAATTCGACTTTGACCGCGTAACACATTTTTCGTTATCCTATCCAACGATGACGACGACGAAGCTACATGTGTTTAACTGGCCCCATCAATGTCTGCTGCTGGTGCTGCTCATAGTGTCGTTTGAAAAGGACGACGATATTTCACACAGCTTTTGTAATGTTGCTATTGTCTGGTGCATCATCATCATTTTGCAGGATGACGTCATGGACCCGCAGCACATCAAGAAGATGCTGGAGTGGGAGCTGAGCCTGGACTCGAACGACTTGCGATCGCACGCCTGGTACCACGGGTCGATCCCACGAGCCCACGCCGACCGCATTCTCCTGCACGACCGGGAGTTCCTAGTTCGCGACTGCGGCTCGCATCCCGGAAGCTTCGTTCTTTCCTGCCGCCACGGAAAGACCTGCCTTCATTTCGTCATCAATCGAGTCAGTATACTACTATGCTATACAGTACTATATACAGTGTACAGTACTGTAGAAATTCGCGCAGGCGACAAAATACGTCACAACTTGTCCCACGAGTCACGACTAGACGGTGGACCGAAAAAGGATCCGTTTTTTTTGGAAAAATACAGTTGTAAATTATGAATGCATACGAATTATTCTTGAATTTCGAAATAAGAAAATACAAATGGTTCCTCCATTTCCGAAACTGTACCAATAAGAAGACCACAAAAAAAGGTCCGTATCATTAAAGCGAACATCTACGAAAAAAAAAAATTGCTGCTCGGTTTCGACTCCCATTTTTAGGATTGCACGTTGACTGGACTGATCAAAAACGAGAACAGTTTAGAATCAATCAATTTTGTTTAGAAGAATTTTCAGTTATGAATCCCCCAAATACAGTACTGCAGTGTTCCCCAACCTTTTTGGGTCTGCCCACCCGAAAATTTTTATAGAAAATTGTTGTGGACCAGCAAATGTAAAAAAAAAATTCTGTGGACTGGCAAAGTTTTATGAAATTGTTGCAGATTAAAATATTTTTTGCTTTAAAGACTTTATGACAGGTATTTGAAAAGTTTCTGCTTCTCTGCAAAAAATTAAGCTTATAAGTTATAACCAACGAAGCAGCTATACTGGAATGTCTTTTAAAAAATTACAAAAAGGTAGGCTAGAAGAAAGGTTTCTCAGAATGAAAAATTATAATAATTCATTTCAGCAGGTTCAAATTTGTCTAAAGTACTATTGGGAGAAAAGCCAACCCTCATTTTTCTTCAGATACAGTAATTTCAACTGCTGTTGTCTTTCAAAAATTTTAGATAATAAAGTAGACTATATACTGCTACCTTTGATTAATTTACTATGCTAAAGAAAATTTCCTTTGGTCCGGCAAAAAATGTATGCGGACCGGCGCCGGTCCACGGACCACAGATTGGAGAACGCTGCTTTAGACCAGTGTTGCTCAACCTTGTTGGAAAAAAGATGTGTAGAAAAGGATGCAAAATTGCAGCTTCTACGTACACTGAAATCTTCAATCAATATTGATCAATGGGGAAAAATGGAGTCCTATATAAATCAAGAAAAATCGCAGGATTCTGTCCCAATTTGTTTCGCGAACATTTCACTCTGAACCTTTATCCTTACTTTATCTAAACCATCGAGACAGTATTTTCCTGCGCAATTTGATCCCTTAAACATAAACTTCTAAATTCCATTGTGAGTTTTGTGACTCCCACTGACATCTATCCACACTAAAAAAAATCCTTCATCGTAAGGAATGAAGTAGAAAATGTTCAATCGTACTGTAGCTACAAAATTAGGCTCTGCACCGTTAATCAGCATTATTTTGCACAGTATTGTGTAAGCATAAAAATGTGCTACCTTGGTAAATCGAAAGAAAAAAAGAAATCGCCAGTCGTTCGATTCCAGATTAAGCGATGTAGCTGCTGTCGAACAGATGAATTCGAATTCGTTGGCATTACGTTGATTTCTTTTGCTGTCCACCTATATTTTGAAATGAAATTTTTTTCCACCGTTTTTCACACTCACTTCTCATACTGCTATCGGTCTCGTTCACAAGATGACTTTCTAACTTTTCTGTGCCTAACTTTACGATTCCAAATGAGCCATAGACACACACAGACATGGACTCGTGATTTTGGACGGGTTTACAACTCGAACAAATTCGTTAGCTCTCGAGAGAAATATATTGCGGAGTTGACGCGGGGTTTATCTCTTATTGTGCTGAGGGCCTTTTTCCTTATCTGCTGGAAACTATACTATACACACCCAAGTGCTTTTCGAACGAAAAGTCGAACGAACAAATCCGTCAGGGGGGGTTTTATCTATGCATTTTTCGTCTACATATCCAACGTATACGAACAGTTTTGTGCGATGCATCCAGTTTATTCGTGCATTTTGTGTTTGGTGGGTTCCGGCATCCGTTTTATTCAGTTCGTTTTTTTGTTTGTTTTTGTTTGTGGCTCACTACTGCTCAGGTGTTGGTGCAACAGGGGACCATCTACGAAAGGATTCAGTTTCAGTTTGAAGAGGAAAGCTTCGATTCCGTCGCCGGATTGATCACTTACTATGTGGGCAGTGGGAAGCCGATTTCCAGCAGTTCCGGGGCTCGGATTTGTCATCCGAGGTGAGTTGTTTTTTTTTCTCGTGATAATTTGAATACTGTGGTGCACTGCATGTGTACAGTACAGTATAGTACTGTGCAGGTACTCGTGTTTTGAGTATTGAATGGCATGATGGGGAGGAGGAGGTCGGGTAACGGGGATTTTCTTGCGCGGCAAATTCTTCAGAATATAAATACTGATTTACTTTCGCGGGAGGAGGGAGAGAGACAAGTGCATTTGAAATTCTGTAAACAGCAGTACCGTTCTTCGCACACCAATAATGCGAGACACAATTATTCATAAAAATCTCCATTTTTTTTTGTTGTGACTCGCGAAGATGAAAATGCTTTTTTCCACGATGCGAAGACCCCACTTTCATTTGCATGCAATTTCTTCAGAATCGGATAATTTCGCTGCATCTGCCCGGTTTATTTTTATTTTTTTTTCCCCGTGTGCCATCTTGAAACCTTGAAAAATTACCAATAACGGAACTTGGGTGTTTCAACTCTTGTGGCCGTGAACGAGAAATAGCAGAAAATGTTTTTCGAATTGATTTCCAATCGTATGTCTGATTGAGCATATTTTCTTCGCCAGAGTCAATCTTGGACTGGATATTTGAATTGAAGATGACATTAGACGTTTGATGGTGTCGGGGATTCATGCCAGATCTTTTTTTTTATATCAAGGCAGCTAGAAAACGATTTTTTTGAATTTCTGGAATCGGCTTTAATGGCTATTCCATTCCCTTCTTGGAGCCTGGTCCTTTAAGGTTGATGTATACAATATGATTAGAGATGGGAAACCTGAAAAGGAAAAAAAAAAACTGATCAAATGTGCTGATGAAATTAAGAAAGAAGGATTTTTATCGATTGAATTAGGTTCTCCTGTGTGCACAATTTTCACAAAAATTTTCCTCTAGTGAATTTTTTCTTGATGCATGGATTTGAAAAAATGAAGACTTTTTGATATTTACTTCGATTCTTCACTATATTTTGTTGTGGCTGCTTTTTGCATACAACAGATGCCACAGAATTCAAGACGCACCTGTATTATTTTAGTCAGTTTTGTTTTGAAAATGATTTTCCTTATATTTGATTAAATTACGGCATTAAATTGAAAATTATCTAATTTGTCATTGAAGATTCAACATTTTCAATCATTTTTTTAATGCCTGAGGTTAAACGCATGAAGAAGAGGATCAAAGTCGATGGCGAATTCGCGAGGGACGTTTTAGACATTATTGCGGTACAGTACTTGAAACAGGGAAAAATGCGCAAAAATGTCTTGATTGCGTTAAATCCGCATTTCAAAAGCGAAAAACAAAAGCAACCATCCCTTTCATTGTTGCCATTTTCATGGTCACGCATCAGAGGAGAACCCAAGAAATTCGTGCACTACAACCAAAGGCACTCGATGTGAAATTATAGTGTGACAGATGAGTTATTCTTATGGATTTACGATATACTGTCCATAATGGACTGTATATAGCATGAATCCATAGCGTCCATTATGGTTGAATCAGGTGTAGGAAGTTTGTTTTCAATTTATTGATTTCTTTAGGATTGTTCGATTAAAAGAAAAACTAACTTTTCTTTCTTTCTTTCTTCTTGTGTTTCTTTACTTTAAAATTTCATGGAATCTAGTGTAACATCTTTTTATCAATGTTAACCGATAGGTGAGTGATTGTGTTTATTCATTTGAAATGTCATGGAATTTAGTTTTACGTCTTTTTTATTAATGCTAACCGGTAGTTGAGTGATTGTACTTTTCAAAATCGACGAAAGACTGCGTTCTTTTCAATCCCAAGTGTGAAGTTTTCGGCTTTCTGAGGCCTTCTAATTTTGATTTTCCCATTTGTTAGATCGATTCAATCGAATGTCAAAATACTGTATGGAAAAAAGCATTTTCTTGTTTTAATTTGACTCAACGCGTCAATTTTAATGGCGGCATAATTGTTCATCATTTAACCAGGAAAACCGCTTCTGCCGTAACATCAGATAAAATCGAACGATTGTTTTCATTGAGAGGTGGAGAAATCGAAGAATGACAATAACGGCGTTATCATACAAAGAATTAATAAAAATCAGAGAAATTATTGTACGAATGTAAGATTGAATAGCCCAACATTCCCACAATAATTCCCACCGAATAATTGGTTGATCAGAGAGAAAACGACTCCAGTGAAAATTATTCGACGCTTCTATAGGCTGATCTTGTGTCAGATGAAATTTTGTGTAACTTTGATTAAAATTAATGTAATACAGGAGTTTTTTTGTTACATTAACGTAATCCTATGATGTCCTCTTCGTAAATGATAAAAGCCGTAATTGTTGGGAATGTCGAGGAGAGAGAGAGGACTCGTGCCGTCGACACCGACGTTCGCCGTAAAGTCGTTGTCGAGTTCTTGGAAACGACACGTGAGTGATGTGACTCATGTTCGGATGTTTGTCGATTGGCGGGAACTCTGACTTTTCCGGATCCCTTCCCGGGGAGTTCGTGACAGTCGACCTTTTCGAGTCTCAGTGTAGTGTTCGTGTGTGTGTGTGTGTGTGTGTACTTATACTGCAGATGAAGTTTCATGTTTGCCGTCGGGTACTCTTTATTTCCGATAAGACCCAGTTTTGAAGGGTTTTTTCCCCCGAATTTCTGTAATCTACGATGCCTCTAGCTCCTCGTGAAGGATCTATTTTCAGCGCTGTGTGTTGAAAAACAGTTCCATCTCGTATCTCAAATCGTTCTCTGACACGAATGCGATTTTATTCACGATTCACGATTTTCACGATTTTTTTGGGGGTTTTTTTTATCAGTGATTTATTCTTACTCTTGAACCAAACAAATCTATTGTCAATCATGAAGAGTTTTACAGTATTTTATTTCGGTTCGATAATTTCAGTGACACGTGAATGATACGTTTAAATATTGAATGAAGCGTTCAAATGTTGTACCGTAATTCGATGAGTGATCGAGAAAACGTGTCACGACGTCTTTTTTAAACTTTTGAATCCAAAAAATTGATTGTGTGTGACCTTCCTTATCCAAGTTTCGTGAAGAACTTACTAAAATATTGAGAAGTTCAGCGTTTGCAGTATTTTCTGTGTGCAGATTTTTACTATAATGGGTGCATGCATGGTGACATGGTACATTTCGAGCTGATGTTGAAACTACATTCGTGAAGAAATACACAATACTCGTAATCTAGAAAAGGTGAATTATAATCCTGATTAATACCCGATACGATTCATGTTTTTTTTAGCCTGTATTTCATTTGATTTTCATGACCAGCACTTCAAGAATTTCATGAGCGCCTCAAGAGTTGAGTGCTCGGATGTAAATTTTTACTGCTAGTTTTCTAAATTATTGTTTTATCAAAACGCGTTGAAGAACTTTTCCTCTCGCGAAAAAAGTGATCAGTTTTTTATTGATACCGAGAATTGCCGCCGATTTGTTTCTACAGTATTTTGAAATTCAATGAGTCATTCTTGACAGAAACGAGATAGGGTGATTTTAAGGCATTTTTGCTGTTATCGAATAATGCCGCCATCATTAACAAATAATAACTGTGCCCCTTTCCAACGTTTGCTGATTGAAAACAGTCACTCAAACTGCGAACTTAATTCGTTTTAATGGAAAGTTGAACAATTACCCAGTTTATTGCTTGTAACCCGCATGGAATTTGAATGCAGTTCAATTTGCGCGTGTTTGCAAATTTTTCTCAAGATGGCCGAGCAGTTTATAGTTGGAGCTATTTTTTATGAATTTGTTGCTCGAGGTAATTGCTGCTTGTTTTTTTAATACAAACATTTACAATGCTACCTTAGTTTCCTGAGCTGTGCCTGAATTTTTGATTGGGTAAATGAAACAAATTAGCCTGTAAACTTTATCTGAACTTACTTGAACCACTTCATTTATGTAAGGACTGTCTTTGCTGTTGAAGCTGATGCATTTGCATACAAAGCCGCTCATTTTGTGGAGATGTGCTTTTTGTGAAACTTAGCGTTGTTTTCAATCATCTATAATTTTTCAGAGAAATCAAATTATATCTTCATTATCAATTTTAATTGATTCCTCCCGCATTCAAGTACCTCGGAATGTCTTTTTTTTTAAGTCCCTGTCAGAGTCCTTTAAAAACAGTGTAATGCAAAAATTCACTGTAACTCAAAGACTTTCCCTCTAACTTCCTTGCCTAGAATTTTCTAGAGGCCCTTTTGCTGTTATTTTCTTTACACCAAAAAATAAAAAGAGAAGCAATACAATGTTATGTTTTTTGATGTGAAGAGAAAGACTTATGGCACAAATGCACCCTTGCCTCCAAGTTCAGCATCTTGCCAACTCATTTATGGAGCAAATTAAGGCACAGAATATCAGCAATATTAGAACACACAGAATATTAGAAAATCCTGTAGTTCTTCTCCCTTGTCAAACCTCTATAAATAAAATTTCAATAAGTGACCAGCAGAAGAAAAAATCAAGTTAGGGAGGTTTTGAGTTGAAGAAGGGTTTGAGTTAGGAAAACAACCATTTTTGTTTTAGGAAAGCTAGAAAATTGCAGGAAATTGTACATGGTGATATTCAAAGCCTCAAAATGCTTAATGGATGAGTTGACTGGATGCTGAACCTACAGTTCATTTCCCAATTAGTCTTGACCTTCTTTGCAAAATACATATTTTTTATTTTTATAAATTTTGTTTCTCTTTCCTGTATCAAGAAAGTAATAGGCGAACAGCCTCAGAAAATTTTGAGCTAGGGAGGTCTTTTAATGTATTGCTTTTTCTAAGAATTCAAACAGGGACTTGAAAAACTCATTTGACTTGTCTTGGTTGAACTGTGAAATATTTGTTTCCCTGACTCAAAACCTCTTCAACTCAAATAACAGTTGAACCCCTCTGAATCAAATTTCAAGGAACCAGCAAAACAAAAATAGGCTTAAGAAGCTTTTGACTCAGGAAGGATTTGAATTATAGATGTTTGAGCTGCAAAACAAAGCCCTTTTGTTCAGGGAAACATGGAAGAATTGCCTAAAATTGTAAATGGTAATATTCTAGGGCTTAAATTGCTTCTTAAATGAGTTCAAAGGATGCTGATCTGGGATGCAGGGGTTTGTTTGCTCAATCAAATGTTTCACTTCCTTTTAAAATACATCAATTTTTGTCTTTATTTTTTTATTTTTTTCTTGTGTCAAGAAAATAATAGTCAAAAGGCCACAGAAAATTTGACTTCTGGAGGTTTGAGGGGGAAAAGCCTTTGACTTGGGAATTACTGTTTCTAAAAGGATTCAGATGGGAACCTGAAAAAATTTGACTTGGGAAGGTTCAAGTTATTGTGGCTCAATTGTATGTTGCTGCTCCTGTAGGGCAAGCGGCCCACAAAGAATCAAAACATAAAAGCAGAAAAATACACAATCCGCCAGGGAACATGGCAGGAAGATTCTCGATAGAATCTCTCAAAAGAAAGAGCTAAAATTGTACTACTGTAGCAAAATTAAGATCAAAAGGACCAATATAAAATGGGGAATAGTAACAAATTGGAATCGCAGTAAGATACACTTCAAAAGGTACTCGAACACAACCAAACGCTTTCAAGAGTAGATCACCTAATATGCAGAACTTCGTAAATCGCGGGAGTAGAATCCAATATTGTGCAATGCGAGGGAATTTCCGTGGAAGTTCCCGCTATACTGCATTCCATACATTCCGTAATCAGGTTAATTTACGAGGTATTATTGTTATTTGCGTGACGCGTGCCCTCTGTGCCCCCACAGCTCCCTTGAAGTGTGACTATTTATAGTGAGACCCCCAGATTCGGACATAATTGGTGTATCAAGAGTGTCCCTATGTTGGATTGTCTCCAAGCCAAATCTTGTTTTCCCATGGACTTACATTATATAATTTTTAATTGGTGTTTTATGGAAGAAATGTTCATCAGAAATTCATGAAAAAAAATTTTTGCCACTTGAATTTGATTCAATGAATATCTTCTCAAACCAATAAGAACATTTGAAACATTGAATAGTGTACCTCTGTAGAGTAGATGGAAAAGTTGGCATCTGGAAAAATAACATCCATGTCACAAAGAGAGCTAGAAGAGAGCCCCGTTCGTGACACCAGCATGGGCCAATGCGTTAGCTCGGAAGCCACTTTGGCCATGAGCAGCGGGTGAGTGTTACGAGTTGTCGGACACTCGGAAAGCATTTCCTTTGGTCCCCGCCGCGGAAGTTCTTTTGTACTGTACCTTTTTGTCCATGTTTTAATTGCGTGTAGATTTTAATTTTTCGGTTTTTTTTCGGTGGGACATTCGGAAAACTTAATTTAGATTTTTCAATGTTCTGGAAATTGCATATATACGCACGCGCAGAAGCGTAAATTTTGAAAGCTGCATTCGGAAAATTTGATGTGGGAACTATACGAGTACAGTAAGCACACACACGAGTGTACATTTTGAAAATAATGAGAACTTACATTTTTTCAATGATGTGGAAGCTATACTGAAAGACGCGAGTTTAAATTTTTAGAACTCAATTTAGGAAATTTGATGCGGAAACTACGTATACAAGAAGTACATGAGGGTGTCTTGGGAAAACTTCAATTAGAAAATTGTATGCTATAACTGAAGAAATCACACGGGTGTAAATTTTGAAAACTCAAATTTAGAAAATTCGATGCCTACACTACAGCAGAAACACACTAGTGTAAAATGTTGAACATTTGGAAACGTGTTCGAGAAAATGTAATGCGGAAAAAAAAGAAACATATGATTGTAAATTTTTTTATAGTTTTGAAATCTAAATTGAGAAAAATCGATGCTGGCACTACAGAGGCACAAATGTAAATTCCGCAAATTTGCAAAATTTGATGCGGGAACTGCACGCACACGCGAGCGTAAATTTTGAAAATTTGGAAAGCTTCATCAAGACATTACTATTTTTTATGAATTTGTTGCTCGAGGTAATTGCTGCTTGTTTTTTTAATACAAACATTTACAATGCTACCTTAGTTTCCTGAGCTGTGCCTGAATTTTTGATTGGGTAAATGAAACAAATTAGCCAACACAACACAACTTTATCTGAACTTACTTGAACCACTTCATTTATGTAAGGACTGTCTTTGCTGTTGAAGCTGATGCATTTGCATACAAAGCTGCTGATTCCGTGGAGATGTGCTTTTCGTGAAACTTACCGTTGTGTTCAATCATCTATAATTTTTCAGAGAAATCAAATTATATCTTCATTATCGATTTTAATTGATTCCTCCCGTATTCAAGTACCTCGGAATGTCGTTTTTTTTTTAAGTCCCTGTCAGAGTCCTTTAAAAACAGTGTAATGCAAAAATTCACTGTACTCGAAGACTTTTCCCTCAAACCTTCTTGCATAGAATTTTCTAGAGGCCCTTTTGCTGTTATTTTCTTTACACCAAAAAATAAAAAGAGAAGCAATACAATGTTATGTGTTTTGATATGAAGAGAAAGACTTATGGCACAAATGCACCCTTGCCTCCAAGTTCAGCATCTTGCCAACTCATTTATGGAGCAAATTAAGGCACAGAATATCAGCAATTACAATATCCTGTAGTTCATCTTGCTTGTCAAACCTCTATAAATAAAATTTCGGTTAGGTCAGGTTATGTTAGTTTCAAATATCCTTTAACTAACATAACATGACCTAACCTAAATTTACCTAACAACCTCCCAAAATCAGTTTCAGCAGAATGCAGAAAAATGAAATTCACAGTTTCTGGTAGGTTGTTGTGATTATGAACTTGTCCTAAAGATTTGTCTGGATGGTAGTGCGGCCTAGGAATGAGGTACTGAGATAACAGGAAAGTACAAAAATTTGACTTTGGGAGGTTCAAGTTATTTTGGTTCAATTGTATGTTGCTGCTCCTGTAGGGCAAGCGGCCCACAAAGAATCAAAAAGTAAAAGCAGATAAATACACAATCCGCCAGGAAACATGGCAGGAAGATTCTTGATAGAATCTTTCAAGAGAAAGAGGTAAAATTGTACTGGCAAAAGTAAGATCAAAAGGACCAATATAAAAACCCCTTATCATTGTTTAACCTTAGCGTCATTCTATGTGAAGTTTTCCATGAGCTTGTGTTGGTTTGCGAAAGTTCTCATCTAGTGGATTATACGTCTTGAAGCATTTAGCGCCCTCATCTTAGGTTGATTGTGCAATGCGGGGGAATTCCTTGGAAGTTCCCGCTATACTGCATTCCATACATTCCGTAATCAGGTTAATTTACAAGGTATTATTGTTATTTGCGTGACAAGCCCTCATCTGTGCCCCCACAGCTCCCTTGAAGTGTGACTATTTATAGTGAGACCCCCAGATGTGGACATAATTGGTGTATCAAGAGTGTCCCTATGTTGGATTGTCCCCAAGTCAAATCTTGTTTTCCCATAGACTTACATTGTATAATTTTCAATGGGTGTTTTATGGAAGAAATATTCATCAGAATTTCATGAAAAAAAATTTTGGCACTTGAATTTTATTCAATGAATATCTTCTCAAACCAATAAGAACATTTGAAACATTGAATAGTGTACCTCTGTAGAGTAAATTTGGCATCTGGAAAAATAACATCCATGTCACAAAGAGAGCTAGAAGGAAGTCCCTCTGTGCTATAGGGCATTTTTAAAATCAGCTGAATTGATTGGAAAATGATGGGAAAAGTACCGAAGAATTTTTCTTGCATAGATCTTAGGTTAGAAACATCTGTTTCTTGCAATTAAGCCTTATAAAAATCGATTTTCCTAAAATTTATTTTGGAATTTTATCCTGCAATGTCCCCAGGTTGAGTCAGTGTCCTCATGTCGGGTCTTTTTTATGATCTTTTTTGTTAAAAAATAAATGTCCCCATGTCGAGGCGTCCGCATGTCGGGGTCTCACTGTATATTCATTTTATTTATTTTGTTGTTGTTTCAGGAATCGTCTGTATCCATTGACGTATTTTCCGAACCAATTGACGAATCCGGAGAGCAGCAGCACTGTCGGGTCGCCGCGGTCTCTGTTTGCCACGTCGTCGTCGCCGTTGTTGTACGACACCGGAACACTGTCCCGCCCTGGCAGCACGTCCACTGTCCCCGGGAATCGCACCGCTGTTCTACTGGGCTCGTGGCGGACGTCGACACTGTCGACACCTCGGCTGACGAGCCCCGTTCGTGACACCAGCATGGGCCAATGCGTTAGCTCGGAAGCCACTTTGGCCATGAGCAGCGGGTGAGTGTTACGAGTTGTCGGACACTCGGAAAGCATTTCCTTTGGTCCCCGCCGCGGATGTTCTTTTGTACTGTACATTTTTGTCCATGCTTCAATTGCGTGTAGAATTTAATTTTTCGGTTTTTTTTTCTGTGGGACATTCGGAAAACTTGATATTTTTAAATGTTGATGCGCTTGAAACTGCATATATGCACGCGCACAAACGTAAATTTTGAAAGCTGCATTCGGAAAATTTGATGTGGGAACTATACGAGTACAGTAAAGACACACACGAGTGTAAATTTTGAAAATAATGAGAACTTAATTTTTGTTGAAATGATGTGGAAGCTATACTGAAAGAAACGAGTGTTAAATTTTTAGAACACAATTTAGGAAATTTGATGCGGAAATGACGTATGCAAGAAGCACACGAGGGTGTCTTTGGAAAACGTCATTTAGAAAATTGTATGCTACAACTGAAGAAATCACACGGGTGTAAATTTTGAAAACTCAAATTTAGAAAAATTCGATGCCTACACTACAGCAGTAACACACTAGTGTAAAATGTTGAACATTTGGAAACGTCTTCGAGAAAATGTAATGCGGCAACAAAAGAAACACATGAGTGTAATTTTTTTTACAGTTTTTAAATCTAAATTTAGAAAAATCGATGCTGGCACTACAGAGGCACAAATGTAAATTCCGCAAATTTGCAAAATTTGATGCGGGAACTGCACGCACACGCGAGCGTAAATTTTGAAAATTTGGAAAGCTTCATCAAGACATTTTTTCATGAACTGCGCATCAGAAACACGCGAGTGTAAATTTTGAAAATTTGTAAAAACATAATTTTGAAAACGTGATGCGGAAACTGCGCATACACACGCATTGTAAATTTTGAAAATTCGAAAAACTTAATTTAGAAAATTCGATGCAGAATGAGTCTCCGCATTTTCCCACTGGAAGCTGGCAATTCAATAGATACATTGGTTATAAGTTATTGGTGCCTGAAAAATTGATCTCGTGTCTGTTTTCCTATCGGGGAAATTCTGCAGCTTTCGCTCGTGAATATTCCGAATTTTCTTAACCATATCCCAATTTTATGAACCCAGATACACTTACCCTCAAAATTGCTTGTCGAAATATCCTGGGCGTGGCCTTTGTACACGCACGCTCGTAAATATAACTTTTTGATTGTTTTTGTGATGACGACAAAAAGTGCAGATTTTTGAGCAGTAATCTCGGAAATAGCAGAACTGCTTTATTTACTGGTATTCGCACTTGAATTTTCTTCGATGTTCGTGAACAAAGAAGTTGGAGAAATTTAACACTCTCTTGTTTTAATGTCTTACAGTACTTTTTTATTCATTTTTATCAATTTGGTGCGATGATTATGCCATAGGAAAAAATTGACTAATGCAAAATACAATCTATTAAGCCATTCAAAGCATATACTTTATTATTCATTCAAAATACTGTACTACATATTGAGCCCAGGGTAATTTCTTCATAACGGGCCCAACGCAGATTTTAACTTTTCTTCTTTAGCATTTTAGTGCTATATAAATTGAGTTTGAGTGATTGACGGACATGCACGTAATCGTCGTCAAATTTGAGTTTCTCTGAATTTTCCGGTTACAAAAAATGCTGTAATCGTTTTCTCATATTTTTTTTTTTGCAACGAAAGTGGAAGAATTGGTTTGATGCCTGTATTTTCCGAATTAAATGCTGGGAACAGAGAAACGATGTCAAATGGTGGAGTTCCGGGAAACGACCGACGACCTCACTTGTCTGGATCGAAATCCTTGCCTCGAATAGTCAAAGCTCGTAACGCTGGATTCAAAGCTGACGGAAAGGTGTCGCCCGTGAAATCACACCAGGTAAGTTTTCTACTTTCATTTTCTTTATTTTCACTCATCTCTCAATTTTGTCTTTCAAGGCATATACATTTGCCCTAAAATATGTTGCATTCAATAGTGTGAAAGCATTTTTATCTTTTGTTTACCTCGTTTGCATGCGCATTTTCGATGAATCTGCGGCATATAATTTTCGGTTCAGGTACACGCGTTCGTCTCCGTGCGGTTCGATGCATTTCATTGACCTTACAGGAAGTTTTCCTGTAAATTTTATGTAATTCTCCAACGAACTTGGAATTAAGTTGGAGGAAACCACTGTGATTCAGTGTCTTACAATTTTGAATCAGCGATTTTATGGAAGTATAAAAAACCGCCTGAGTACTCGGAGAAGAAGCTGAATTCTCGCGAAGCACGGCGAGAAGTACTCATGAGGGATTAAATTCATTGTTGAGCTTCTGTCGACTCTTGATTTAAAAAAAACGCACGATTGAATCATTTTTGCGAAATGTGAAGGTGCAAATGTTTAACGACTATAATGGATTATGTTACTGTGATCCTATATTTTTGCCGTGTGAAAAACTTTTTAATGATGATATTGAGCCGAAAGGTTCCGATGCTTTAGTTAAATGAACGATTGAAGCTGGTTCGACGTGGAAAATCAGAGACGAGTTCATGTCATTATCTTATTGGAATTATTCTAACTCATAGCATATTAGATATTGCATATACTGAATATACAAATGTTGAACGATTGTAATGGATTATAATACTGCACTTCTGTTGCTAGTCCGATGTGTGAATCAAATGAACGATTGCAGCTGATTTGACGGGATTTCGAGACAAGTTTATTAAATTTTTCAAAAAAAATGATTTCAAATTCCATGATCTTAATTGCATTGCTTGGTTTGATTAGCTCGAGCATTTGAAAAATGCAGTATTATGCTGGAGACAAATTTGCTATTCGCTTTCCAAAAAAATCAAGAGGGGTTGTCTTATTTTTTGTATACTGTATTTCGAAATGCGACCAGATTTTACAGTCATATGATGCTCTATTTCAAGTATTATATGAGTTGTCGTGTCAGAATTTTGGCACCCTTGAAATTAATTGCAATGACTTTTGGAATGTTGCTTTTACGCTCACTTTGGAGGGAAAATGTTTTACGTTTCTTCTGCTTTCATTGATTTTTCACTTTCATTATACTCCTTTGATACAGAATAAAGATATTTCTAGGTTTGTTTGTTTTTTTCCGCCAAGTGCGCTTGGGAAAGCTAAATTCTCACGTCATCGGAATAATTATCTTTCTTTGCGCCCTCCTGGCAAACAAGCAGTTGGAAAATATTTGAAAAATTCTCAGCTGACCCTGTACTATCCACTCTCAAAAACGTATAAATAATTCGTGTTTTGCTGTTCAGCAAATCTTTGAATGGCGAGCGAAACCTTGAAACAATCCGCACACGGAGACTCTCCAACCCTCGTAAAAGAGAATCCGTGGTAAAACTATTCGTAACTGTAAGAAAGCGATCAAACATGACCATATTCAAAGTGAATAAAACGAGAGTCTGTTCAAAGTTTTATACATTTCTGTAAGCTTCTATGTAAAATCGGGAGATGTCGGTGTTTGAAAATTCATATCATGCGTATTATATTATTGATATCGAGGAAAACTTCGTCTTTTTTTTCCGGGGATTCTTCCCTAAAGTCGAAAAGCTTTCCTTAAAATTTTGGATTCAACTTAAGAAGTGAGAACCGTTGAATCCTCAAGTTCGTAATTTGTGTCATTTGCAAATTCTTGATATTTTGACAATCCATTCCAGTTCGTGCAGACGACAGTGTTCGAATAACTCCTCGTTTTTTCATTTACTTCTGGAAATGAATAACGATCGAAAGCCGGCACCATATTTATTTTAATTTTTTACCGCGTGTTGATAAATTGCATGGTGTTTTTTCTATCCAATCATGAAGGATATTTTGGGTGAACCGGCCCAAATAATTGAAGCTGGTGGTGAAAAGGTGGCCCTTCGAAAGCAACCCACATCTCGGGCGTCTTCAAGACCTCCGCCAGTAGTTGTCTACGGTCATGGGAATGGATCAGAACCTGAATTCCTGACAAATTCCGTCAGCTACCTTCCGGGTGAGTGCAATTTTAGAATTTTTGATTCGGAAAAATAACGTTTGAAATCGAGATCACTTTTTTTTCTGCCGTTTTCTGGTGCGTTTGGCCGGTGAATTTTTGAGAGCCTTAGAAAATTTGTATCTTTTATGTTGAAGAGGAACGTTTTTAGGGTGTGGGGACATCAAGAACACATGGTTTTTATTTGAATTTCTCATGAGGAGGTTTGAAAAAGAGGAAACCTTAGAGTATATCATCCAGTTTATTGTGAGAAATGGGTTTGTTTGGTTATTTATTAAATCGACTAATACTGTTGAATCAACTCAAACTCCTCTGGGAGCAGCCTGAATCCGTTGTGCTTAAATATGTGTTTTTTTTCAACTGCATTATGATGCAACATTTATTACTGATACTGTATATTCTTTTTGTAATATAGTGAGGGGAACAAAGTGTATGCATTTACATCAGTTATGCTTTTGTACATTTTTTCATGTATTTTCATTTTATTTTTCTTCAGTACCCATAAGCAGCTTATTTCTCTACTTTTGTTTGGTAAGCATGCCGTGCATTAATTATTGAATAGAAACTCTTAGAAATCATGAATAGTTCCCCCTCCTCAAAATTAGGAAGTACCTGGCACTGTAGCATCTTCAACTCTAGATTCTTGACCTATTAAAGGTCTTTTCTGTTGTGTAAAGTGTAAACCAATGAAAGTTAAATATCTCTGAATATATAAGCAACTCATGTTCAGTCATATCATCATCAGTAGATGACTTGAATTATTCTTTTGCCAATTTATCCTAGCTGTGAGAGGTACTAGGGTGACCGCTACCACCACTAGACGGCTACCAAATCCCTGGCCCCTATTGAATTCATTGTCCCTCCCGTGGTTACCCTTTCGGACCCATTGTGTCTTTTTTTCTGTGGGTCAGGGGGCAAAGAAGCGCCATGGTAGAAGTGTCGGAATAGAATTGTCATGACACTTCTACTGCGGAAGCAAAAGAAGCACCAAGGTAGACGCGCCACTGCAATTCTATTGCGGCGTTTCCACCGTGGTGCTTTTTGCTCCTACAAGGAATTCCTGGTCCTGTCCCAGACTGCTTATTGTGTTTTATTACAACACTCAACATCAACTTATATTGCAGTGACAATCTGTCCCCAATAACTTTCATCATGATGTGATGGAATGTGTTTGGATGAATGTGGGCAGGGAGGAGGTTCGGATGTGGAAATTTTGCTTCAACCTTTCAAGCACTGAAAAGCAGAAAATAAAATTGGTTTATCAATCAATGTTAATTGGAGGAAAAACTTCAACAAAAATGTGCCAACAATTTGTTGTCTGTTCTGTTCTTTGGAAAAAGTGAATTTGCGCAAAGAACTCATACGCAAAAATTTCCAAATGTATGCAAACAAACCTTTTTTGAGAAAATGCGCGAATAATGGAGTACTGACTACTCAGAGATTAGTGAAAATTTCTGCCTCAAAAATGATTCATGGGAAAATTCCGGAAATTTCTCAGACGAAGGATATTTGAAAAACACTCGTGTGTGTGTTTTTATCGAGAAGAGCTCACGGTCTGAAGTTCTTCGAAGTACAAAGCGTCCGAAAGGGCACTTGATGATTCACTCGACAAATTGGAAATTCAAATTTTCAATTATTTTCCACGAGAAACGCAACATGGTAACAAAAACGAAGACGCGCCACTTTTCCTCTTTTCCGGCGGTAAAAATGGTATCATAAAATATTCTTGAGTTTTCAATTATCCTAGGAAAATTTAAATGAGAGCCTTGAAATTCTTTTCGATTCTCTCATTTCTTACTAACGGTTTTATTTTCAATATCTTTTCATTTTTTATATCCTCACTTTGTTTGTGACTCGTGTTCCAAAATGAATGAGATGGGATGATCGTTGATCGCTAACAAAGTCGTGAGGTAATTTACGAATAACTTGCGTTTCGTGATCATCTTGCTTCTAAAAAATTATTTGAATGTAAAATGTAAAACTCGGAATCAGTTTATGAGTACTTAAAGCGTCATTTATGAGTGGAGGCATAAAAATACTGTGTTATGTTGAATCATGCTTGTTATTCGGCGGCATGTGGTTGAAAAGATCCCAATTCTGAAAGATTTTGGGTGGAATTTTCGCTCTTGTGATTAAAAAATCTTATACCTCTTATCTGAAAAAATCACATTTTGCTAGTGTGCAATTTGATGGGTTTTTAAGTGTCTTAGTGCAGCAGGGCGTTTCAAATTAAATGCAGTATAAATTTTAAAACAGAACAGATACTTTATTAAAATTCCGTACTCACAAACTATGAATGAATGAATGAATAAAACACTTTATTTGCCGCTTTTCAGCATTCACAAGGTTCAATCAAGATTTCCACAACCAAACCCCCTTCCCACCCAACCCAAATCCACTCAATGACATTCAATCACTTCAGAGCAGGAAACAGAGCACAAATTGATAACAAAAAATAAAAGAAAATACAATCCATGAAATACAACTGGACATCTGACATGTATGCATACACCCATTCATTCCCTGACATTGGAAACAAAATATATGTAAAAATTAATTTAAAGCACAAGGTCTTCAGCTTGTTTCTGTATGAGGTTTAGTTGAATGAACAAATTAGAGAGAATCTTTGATGAGAAATCATATAAGGCCAACAGTTTATCACAAACTATTGCATTGGTGTTTCATATGTACGTACTGAACATTTGGCAGATTGATGACTGCCAAATTTCCATAGAAGCACAGTTTCATAAAATTTGTTCTAAACTCCAAAGCATTGATATTTTATTTCTGAAGGAAAGAATTGCATTTTCCAAAGCAAAAAAAAATTAAAACAGAAAATACTGTATGGCATACTTTAACGCATTGATAATGTACCATTTATTTATTTATTTATTTATCTATTTTATTTTGCGAAGGAGGTGGAAATACTGGCATGAGCAGAAGTGGGTCCCCGAGCAGCAGTGCGTGTTCAAAGCGAGACAGTCACGATGCCCCGGACTACGACACACCACCGCCTCCAGTGCTCACCACTGCTGTCAACAAGACTCGTTGGACACACCGATCCTCTGGCAGTGATTCCGGAATGAACTCAGCAGAATCCATGACTTCTGGAGAGTCAGAATCACAGTGAGCATCATCCATTTTATTTATTTCTTTTTTTTTACATTTTTGACTGAATTTTCTGACCATGACCAGCTTCCAAGAAGAGTTGTAGCTCAACTGGGGATATTTGATTCCGGCTCAATTATAAGAGGATCTCCATTTTTATTTATGATTGTCAATATTATCATTATTTTTTTACTTGGGAGTTAATTTGGATCGCGTAGTTTTTCTTGTAATTTTGTTTTAATCCCTTGTTTTCCGTGGATTAGAAGAGCTACAATCAAGAGGAAGTCGAAAAGTACGGTCGAACCGCTTATAGTTGATGAACTATATACAAAAAGGGACCTGCAAACAATTCGACTTGCAAAACTTTTCAATTTGAAGAAATCAGTAATTTTGTTAGGGGGAAAATAAGTCACAGGATATTGAAATTGGTGGTCTTTGAGCCTTGAACTATTTTTTTAAATGAGATGACAGAATGTTGAACTTGGAGGCAAGGGTTCATTTTCCAAAGTAATCATTCCATTCCTTCTGAAAAACAGGGTTGCATTTTATTGTTCTACCCTTTTTTTCCTTTCAGGGGTTCCCAGAATAACGGTCTATAAAGACCTCCGGAAATTTGAATCGTGGAGATTTGAAACAGAAACGCTTTGAGTTAGGAAGTGATACAGTTTAATATACAATTAATTACATTCTTCTCGAAGGAATATAAACAGGGAAATGAGCACAACTTTTTCAAAAGAGAGGTTTGATTTCTCGAGGTCGGACTGTACTTGAAAAAAATTCCGAAGGATAGTATTTTCAATATTTTTTCAACTTCCAGAAAGCTCTTTTTTTTTATTCTTTTCGACCCAAGGACTTTGATGCAGCGATAATAACAAAAACTTTCATCCATCGCAATTGAAAATGAAATTTATTTCGTGTTCGATGATTCAAGTCAAAGTTGAAAAGAGTTCCCGACATTCTCATGCGGCTGAGGAATTTTTGTGTTGTTTTGCGGAAAAGGTACAGAAAAATTTCGAACCAGGGAAATAGTAGCCGTTGCATTTACCAGAGTATTTTTGGACTTCCGGTTGCTGGGATTTCGGTGACCTTGGGTCATACGAAAATATCCTGGTGTTGCCCTGCAATACAAAAAGTGTGTCTTACTCTCCCACATTCTTCAAGCTTCACAAACCGTAGTTTTCAGAAACGTCTCAGATTTTACTTGTATCCCAGACCTTACAAAAATTAAACAGGCCCGAGAAAAAAAAGGGACGAGATTGGGTCCATGTTTACGCAACAGCTCAGATAATTGCGTAGTCTCTATAGGAAATTGGGTGCTAAATTGAAAATGATGGTGGTTTTATGCAATTAAATTTTTATTGATTTTTGAATGGTTTCAATTTAATCTAGACGCGTCATGTTTCATTGTAATATTGTTTAAATTTTTCAATTCCTCCGCTATCAACGACGAATGATTTTTTTCTCGGGTGTATGAACAGTGTTTTTTCATTTCTCAATTCTCAAAACTATTTACAGTAGAATCTCGTTACAAAGAATCTTATCGTTTTAAAGGGGTAATCGATTACAACAAAGTCGATATTCGGGTCCGTGTCCACAATTTTGAATGAGTTGATTAAAAAAAAAATTTTTATTCGTTACAATGAAGCTATTTTATTGGTCCGAATGACTCCTTTGCAACGAGATTTTACTGTATTTATTTATTTTGCATGAACAATAAATTTTACATTTTTGTTGTCGCTTTTCCTCACGATCAGCAGCGCAAAGGACAGCATAGCAAGAGGTGATTCCAGCATTTTATCAGCATTCGATGTGGAACATTTCCAGTCACTTCATGTGCCTTCTGGTGGGAAGATGAAATTGCTGGACGCGGAAGCCTACGTATCCATCAAGAAGACGTTGTTCGATCGTCCAGCAAAGGTCTTTGCGTCCCGAATCACGGCGATTGATATAGATTTGCTCAAGATTGTAAACGACTCTGACTTGGGCCTCGGGATCACTTCCGGCATCGAATTAATCACCATTCCCGAAGGAAAGCAGATGCGCAATGATGTGATAGAAAGGTGAGGTCTCGATCCGACGCGTCGAATGTTTTTCATTTCTTGGTTACATTTTGGGAAATTCAGCGCCTATTTTGATGTTTGGGGTTTTTTTTTTCAGGGTTAATTGCTTGAGCTGTTTCGTCGCTGCGACGATCGTGCAAGGTGACGATGACAAGGAGCGATCAGAGTTGATACACACGTGGATTCAAATTGCTGATGAATTGCGAACTGCGCAAGGAAACCTCTTGGGGTTTGCTGCTGTGATGCTTGGCATTGATTCTTCTCCAGTGAGTCGGAACGTTTTTTTTTTTTGTATAATTGCGTATACTTTTACTGCACATTCCATTTGCCGAATATTTTCTGAAAGCGGGGATACCAAAGGTTGATTAGGTCTCCGACTGCAGTGTTTGGATAATTTTCCTGGAGTGTATATCATGATTTCCACTGAATTTTTGGCACTAAATTTGGGTTTCGTTCAAGAAAACAATTGGATCAATCAAGAATAATTGAATATTTAAAAAATAATTGAATCCTTCAAGAATAATTGAATCATTCCAGAATACTTGAATTGTTCAAGAATAATTGAATCATTTGAGAAATAATTACCGTATTTACCCAAGTACCACGCGCACCTTTTTTCTCAAATTTCAGAAGAAAAAAAGGGGTGCACGTCATAAGCGGGTACAAATTTTTCAAGAAGTTTTAGGAAGTTATGTGTGCATTATACTTGATTCTAATGAAGAAATTTGGAACAAATGTTCCAAGAAAACTTGTTTATACTGAAAAAATTGAAAATTGATCAGATTTTTGTTCAATTAATGTCAAAAGTCAAATTTTTTGGTGTTATTTTTTAAATTTTGTGGATTTAGATTCACTAAAGATTGGGGTGCGCGTCTTATTCTGGGATAAGATTTTAGCAAAATTTCCAACTGAAAAACCCCTGTGAGTGCCTTACTCAATGGCGTGTGGTACTCAAGTAAGAATGGTAAGTACTCAAGTAAGATAATTTTAAAATTATTTGGAAGATAAATTCAATAGTTTGCCCTTCAAATACATTAATGCTGTATTTTTGATTGTGTTGACGAGTATTCTTTTTTTCCATCAATATAATAGGTTCAAAGGTTGTCGTCGACATGGTACAAAGTCCGGCAGACCCACACGGACAGTGCCCACAAGTTCGAGGCCCGATTACGAGCCATTTTCAAGTCCATGAACGACTCCCGTGCCCCGCCATCGACGCCCAACACTTCCGTGCCTTACGTGCTGCCCTTGTGCTACCTTTTGGAGACCTGCAGCGAACAGGACGTGTCCGACTCTGACTCCTCTTCATCCTTCTATTCGGGTTCTTGTGCCCGAGAAAAGAGCCTGGCTTTGCTCGTGGCCCAAGTTGAAGAAGGAATGCGGTTGTGCCAATCCGCGTCTCTGTTTAACGCGTGTGCATCCCGACTGTTGATCAACGGCGGACTTATTGGAGATGATCCCATGGCGAATGACGTGTTGAGAACGGAGTTTCATCTCCAGTATTTGTTTGGGGTAGATGGCGCCACTGCGGAACGCGGGGAACGGTTTACCAAGTTGAGGAAACTGCTGGACATGTTGTCCAGGCAATGCGAACGAGGGGACCACGATTACACTTGAGACATTTTCGCATTATTTACATGATGAGTGTAGTTTCTTACCGTTCTTTTCATCATGCCGACAATACGCGACCTTCGTCAGACAATATGGAGGTGTTCTCGTCGTTGATAAAAGAAGAAAAAAAATCTTGCTCCCGAAGGAAATCCCTGAATAGTGTTCTTCATCGTTCAGCTTTGATGATGATGATGAGAGAGAGAGATAATTTCTCCTCATTCTGAATTGATTCTGTTTTTTTTTTTTTTTACACAATGCGGAATGAAAATGAAGGTATATATCTTTACTGTTCAATTTATCCAACGCATTCCTGAAAAAAAGGAAAAAATTAATCGATTTTCCAGGCTGAAATATAAAGGAGGAAAAGAAAGCGTGCAACGAGTACAGTTTTCCTTGTGAGATTTGAAGGGCATCACTTTGAAAAATGACGCAAAAAGGGAGATGCTGCTGGTGTGACGATGGTGTGACGCAAATGTTTCAAAAAGTGCGTTGTTTTCGCGGTTTGTGTGGAGACAAGCCATGTGAAATATTTTTTTTTTTTTGCTTTTCCGTTATTTTTTCTTTCTTTTTTTTGACACGTTATATATCAGCATAATTCGAAAAGATGGTGTTGACGAAGCTTGAATGAATGTGTTCCGTGCTGCAGATATCTGGAGTGGTTGCTGCTGCTGATTTCGTGTCGACTGTTTTATTTTTTTTTCGTTTTTTTTTGCTGCAACATTTTTATTTTCTAGTCAGATTTGTCGACAGCTTCTGGTTGTTGTAAGAGGAAGCGACGTTTTTGCTTTCAAGTTTAAAGAAGAAAAAAAAAACTTGCGGGTTCAAAAGGAGAAGTTGTATTTATTTCATGCATGAATGGTGTCATTTACAGTAGATTCTCATGAAAAAAAATTTCAGTATAACAAACTTTTTCTAAAGTCCTGGCAGAAAGCCCATAGAATACATGTTAAAATAATATCGTTATAACAAACTCCCCAATTTCAGTACAAAAACATTTTTGAGGGATGTTTAATTCTGGATTCACTCAAGTACCGCATGCACATCTCAGAAATTGAGACAGAAAAATATGTCGAGCAGGGTACTTATTGGGATACGTTTTTCAAAGAAAAATTCCCAAAATCAGTGCTCCTCACAGGCATGAGTACATCTAAAGAAAATATGGAGAAAAAGTGTTCAAATGTGTGGCTCCAAGTCTCCTTCCTGGTCCATGGGAAATAATGGTTCAAGCAAAAAAATTTCAGGAATTGGTTGGTTACATAACAGAGAGTAACAATAAGTGGAAGACTTTCACATAATTGAGACATATATTGCAAACACATTTTAACTGCTCCAACCGACAGTAAAAAGTAGGAAAAATGAAATATCAATGGATGAAATGAATTCAAACACAAAATTTCAAAATCTTTATGTTCAGGAACAAAAAACAGGGGTGCAGTTCTAACACTGGAATAGTTTTTTCAACAAATTTCTCCCAAAAAGTGGGGTGTATGGTACTCAATTAAATATTGTAGATTCTCCTGGTAGAAATTTCCTGACTGAGGCAGGCACAGTCTGAGATTTCTGGTCCCAAATGTGAATGACTGTTATTTTTACCACGGATGAAATCTGTTATCAATGAAAAACATGTTTCAACGTTCTTCTATGCATCATCCTCTCAGAATGAAAAGATTGACAGAACGTATGAATGAAGCTAATTTTTCTCAGATCACTGTTGTTAAAACTAGGATAAAAAATCTTAGAATTCCAAAAGATCAAAATGATATAGGAAGATCTGACATTGAAACTTTTTTGAGTCATTAATCTTGAAAATCTGACTATAAAAAATTATTCAGTACAACAAACTTTTTCTGAAGTCCTAAACATTTTCTTGTTACAAGATTTTACTATGGGTCATGTTGAGGTTTGCATAGCAGGGAAAAGAAGCTGCCATTTTGGCACAACTTTTCTCCCAGCATTGACTCTCCTGGACACAATGATGTACATTGGCACAGAGGCTATGAAGAACACTGTCAATTGATGGCTGACTTTTGACTCCATGTAGCTGAGGAATGCTGCCAACGGCGACAGGACCCAGTTGCAAATAAGCACGTCGGGGAAGCTGACATTCATTGCCAATCTGGCTTCTTCCATGTCCCAGTACTTGATGGTATTGAGACCTGCCAGCAACATTGCGAGGTACCAAGGAGCTCCAAAACTGATATCCACAAACACTTTTAAAATTCGCTTCAGGCTGAAGATTTCTCTCAAGTCTTTGGCAGAAGACGGCTCTTGTGTCTGAATGATGGAATTCAGAATTGACCTCCATGTCTGCAAGTGAATAATGCAATACAATACAGTTATTTCAATAAAAGTAAAGTACAGTCAACCCCCATCTAACGGACTTGATTTGTGCAAGGGACAAGTCTGTTAGACAAAAAGTCCTTTACACAAATTCAATTAAAACACTAATTTTAAACCAAAAGAAGTGTGTTAGGCAGATTTTGTCTGTTGGGCGGGAGGAAAAACTGCTTTCAGAGCTGGTCTGCTTGGCAAAAATCCCTTACACGGGAGGTCTGTTAGGCGGGGGGCCACTGTATATGTATAACAATTTTCTGTGTCTTTAGACTTAGACTGATCAGTTTTGATGGGACTACTTATTCTGCAATCTGCACAGAACTTCATCCCATGAATACTGCGATTTACAATTTTAATGCAAGAATAAAAAATCTTAGATTTCAACGGCGATGTATATTGAATATAGCCCAAGTTTAAAATATCACCCAAAAACATGAGTCATGCACATAGATCAAATTAAATTAAATTGATGGGTTTCTAAACCAGTGCTACAAGGACTTCTGAAAAATCTAGCAATGCACTATATTTTCTAAAATCTGAGGAAACATTTGTTACTTTAACAATATAATGTTAATATTTGCAGTGGGTCACGAAATGAAAAGGAAAAAGTGACTGGGAACAGTTTTTGGCACAACAAAATTTTTGAGACAAGAAAGGGTTGCATTGGATCATAACTTTGGATCATAACTCATAACTTCGAAATTTTGAAAGCTAAAATTTTATATATATACAGCATCAGTGTTCCTTATTTGGGCAATTTGTATCCAAATTGTTCATGTGATTGTCTCCATATACATATATACCCCTTAGTCTGTACAGTACGTAGAAATGTTGGCATTCTCTGTAAAAAAAAATAACATTCAAGTGAGAAAAGGAGGTCTCTTTATACTGGAGGTAATTTTTTTTAATTAGCTAAATGGATGGTTGATTGGTGAGAGAAATGCCCAAGAACTTTTCTTACATCAAGTTTAGGGTTGAAAATATCTGTTTTTAGTAATTTGGCCTGAAATGTATTTGCAATTTTATAGCAAAATGTCCCTCTGTCGAGTCATTGCCCTCATGTTGGGCCTTTTTTTATTAGTTTTTTATGGGAAAATAAGTGTCCCTATGTTGAATTGTCTGCATGTTGAGGTGTCCGCATGTGGGGGTCTCACTGCACTCAATGTAAACCATGTGTAAAAGTGACTCACAAACAAAAGTGGGACGACGAGAATCACGTTGACAATGACGATGGACAGCAACCTTTTGCGCTGTAAATTGAAACACTTGCCCAGTCGAACTCGCTTTTCAAGCACGACCTGAGCGTACACATCACCGATTACAGAGCAAAACACAGCAGCTCCCACAACAGACCACAATAAACAAGCTCCTTCGCAATCGCTTTCTTTGCCTAAAACACTGCGGAAAAACATGTCGCAATTTCCTTTTTTTTCTTTTTTAAAACTCAAGCTACCTTTCCTGCATTTTTTGTCTTCCCGAATGCTGCGAAAAAAAATGCAAGTTTTCCTCATGCGATGTCAATCCCGAACATGTTGAAAAGTTCGCCAAGTATATTCGCTCAGTCATGATTCATGCAACTGAAGCCAGAGAAAAAAAGCGGGCTTTCTTGGAAAAAATGCGTGTTTTTCCAGACTTGCATACTGTAGTTTTAAATTCCTATATGGTGGCATGTATTTTTAATGAACTCTGCTGCGTGATGAACTGCAATCATATTACACAAATCAGAGAAGTATCGTAATAGTGTACTTGTACTGTTGTTGAAACGGAAGCATTTATATGCAAATGTGATGAATTAACAAAAAGTTTGATTTCTCATAAACTTCAGCTTATTTGGAACAAAGCCCATCAGAGGTGCATTTTTTTGATCTATGAAAATACAATATTGAAATAAGACCACTAATTGGAAGGTACCAGTGACATTTTTAGAGCTTTCAGTTCTTGAAAATAAAAGGAAATTCTATGTTCTGTGTATTCTATGCATATTTCCAGATATTGTAGAAAAACTAAAAACCTCTCAATGATTATTTCAACTGACACTTCCGTATTGTTAATGTTAAATAGCCATGAATTTCCTAGTCAATACAGTCAAACCATGTTAAACCGCCAATGTTTGTGCCACCAAATTTTGGCAGTTTAACAAGGGAAGCCAAAAAAAAAATTTTTAATGGGGGAAGGTTGAAAAAAGGGTGGCACATGGAACATAAAAGCATCACATATAAGTGGAGCAAATTACTTTATTCAAGTTTTAAAGGATTCATTTGAAATTTTCAGGAATCATAGCCTTAATCTTCCCTACCATTACACACTTTAGCACTACCACTTCCCAAGATCAAACTCTGTTGACTGGGATTAGAACTGATTTTTTTCGTTTGCATTTTTGAAAAAAGTCCAACCTTCTGTGTCCTTGGTTGTTGAGACAAAGCAGTTGCTGAAGATTGTAGACAATAATATTCAGGGGTTTATTGACATGAAACTGTGAAGGGTGTCATGCTGTATTTGAGGATGAATTATTTTGGCTAGTTATAAAAAAAGAAGGGAGCAGGCTATGCATCAGAAGATGACAACCTTCATGAGAGGAAATGAGTTCATGTGTTTAACCCTTGTGCAGCAAAGTCAGACTATTTTTGCAAAATTTTGTGGCACCTTGGAGAGGTTTGGAAAAAAATGATAACAGGTGGTCAAGGGAAAAGTTGGGAAAAATCCCAATGCTTTTTTCTCTGAGCACAGAAAAATGTTGCTGGCAAAAAAAAAAAATTCTCACTCTACTGGCTTTTTTCGGATTAATCCCGACTTTGCCTCAGCCCACCTGGAAGGGTTTTGGTGACCTTCCCAAAACTGAAAATGCGAGAGGATACAAAAATAATCCAACTCGGTCCCACTATGGGAAAGAACCCTCCACCATCCAAGGGTTAAGAAGAAATTATTTTGGCTTTTTCTTTAAAAGACAAAAAAGAAGAAGGCCATGCATCAGAAGACCATAACCTTCATGAGAGGAAACCAGAAAACCAGGTTTCAAAAGACAAAAACCTGGCTGATGGACATGAAACCAGTTGGTGGTTTAAAGGGAGGAAAATTTATGTTGGGAGCAGATTTGGAGGGGATAATTTGTTGGTGGTTGGTGGTTTACTTGGGGTGTCCCATCCTTTCAAGGTTGGGACATTTTGTTTGAAGGAAAAACTTAGCTGGAAGTGAGGGTGGTGGTCTAACAGGGGGCAGTCTATTGGGGTTGCACTGTACTTGCCCAATGATGATAAACAAATTATTTGAGTTATTGCAGTAATACTGTTGTTCAATACTCTCAGGCATACATTTTAATACAGTTGTGAATTGCTGGATAATGGACACCTCACATAATGGATTTTTTTTTTACGAGACGTTCGTTCAAAAACGAAACCAATCACTCCAAGGGCAGTTTTATGTAGAGTAGTCTGAAATTTTTTTTCGCCGACATTGCTTATAGAACGAAGTTTTTTAATAAAAGCGGAGTAAATTGTGCTTATCAGGAAGAGTGCTATTTTATTATTCAGTCAAGGGATTTTTTCACAAGGATTTGCACAGTGCACAGAAAATCAGAGTATCATATACACTTCTATGGGTTCTCTGTTGAAGAGTCCTGGTTGAAAAGTTGCATATACAGTACATGCGAAAGCGTTCGCTGGTATAATTGATTCGCAAGAAAAAACCGTTCTTCATTTCAGATAAACTTCGCTGCATTTCAATTCCTGGATTCTCGAGTACGTTAAAATACTCCATGGAATTCCATTCCTATATGTATATAGTGATAGATTTCTCCCTCTCTTACTCTCTATAACGGAATCACATGATTTCTTGCATTAAAATCCGAGTTTCCTCTGTTCAAAATATATATTTCCCCGGGTAATTTCAGTTCGCCTGGAGCACGATTTGTCCAGTTGACGGAATTCCGTAGCCCACAATGTCCAAGACATTGAAACTGATTGCACATGGCAACTGCGCAGTGGTATTGACTTCCATGTAGATGGGCATTGGGCTCATCATCCCGTCTGGTGACATGGTTGCATATTTTAGCACTGTCCACGGATTCGGAATTTCGGGGATAATAGGCGTCACAGGAATGAGTGCGTCATCAATTGTCACTCCTGCTATAGGATTTTCAGAAGTGTGAACAGCGTCGCCTTCGTTTCGCAGCAGATCGTGCTCGATTTCAGGAATAGGTGGAGGATTTTCCGTCGAGTTGAGTAAGTTGTAAATGACGTAAAATGAATCAGAGTCGCTTTTTGCCAGGTGGTCAACCCGTCAGGACGCAAGTAGCAGTAGTCTCGCCAACACTACTAGGCAAAAGTGTAACATGGACAAACTTCCGTCTCAAATTTAGATATATTACTCATCCTTATTCAGTCTTAACATGTCGGTCAGTACAGGTGATCCACAACATATCTACATATGCTGGCTATACTCCTACATCATCTCAACAATATATGTCTCATGTGGACGTGGCCAACATTTACATAATCTAAAGAAATACTAATCTTATAAATTTTCATGTTCATTGAACAAATTGCGCTAGATGGGCATGTTATGAAATTCAGTAAATCATATCAATTTAGTCTTATTCATCTTTAAATGCAGATCAATTTTTTGTTCCTCCATCATTTGGGAGTTAATCCGTTGTGTAAACAATGGGGATATTTGCGTTGGTTTTTTGCCCAATGGATTCCTTTATGATGGGTTTAATTCTGCAGTTATTTTTGTTTCAAAGTTCAGAAAAAGTATTGAATTATTGGTGATTTTGTCCAATTTTTCGCAAGTGAATTGTAAGAAACAGATATTTCCAACCCTGAGATATATGCAAGAAAAGTTTTTACATATTTTCCCCATCATTTTCTCATTCATTCAGCTAATTTAAAAAATTACCTCCATAGCATAGAGGGACTTCCTTCTCTTTTTGTGACTTGAATGTCATTTTTACAGTTACCAACATAGCACTTCAATTTACTGTACAGAGGTACAGTATTTAATGCTCCAAATGTTCTTAATGAGTCGAAAAATATTCACTGAATCAATTTCAACTAGCAGACAATTTTTTCAATGGAATTTTTGTTGAATATTTCCTCAATAAAGCACCAATTAAAAATTATATCATGTGAGTCTATGGGAAAACAAGACCCAACTTAGGGACATTTCAACTTGGGGACACTCTTGATGCACCAATTATGTCCACATCTCAGGGTCTCACTGTAGGTTGAATCAAAAACTGGATATCCTTTGCGAAACAAGTGTTCAAATTATTCCCTGGACATATTTTGCTGTGCCAAAATAAAAGAAGCGACTTCGGGGATACTGAATCATTCCTGAATAAATTTAGAAAATATTACTATACAAGGTTTTCTCGCCTCTGAAGCAAGGCCCCGCATATTCCATCTTAAAAAAAAGGCTAATCTTGGTCTCATTTTAAAAATTAAATCACCAATAAAATGAATTAAATTCGGAAATATACACATAGTCTCGTTTACACAAAATGGTCCACTACTGCTTTCGGGTCTGCTAAAGGGGTTGAGCCAGGGAGTAAGACGGGAGTCCGACAGGGGAGTTGGGTGCTCGTTAAACTACGGAGTCAAATACGTCTAAAGCGTGGTTCCTAATTTCCCTCCACCCAACGTATCCGTCATCGTCTCCATCATCCTCATGTCGTGATTGACGTCCACCACGAGTGCCGGAAGAAGAAGCCGATCTTTTGAATAATTTCCTGTCGTGGTCTCCGCAACGGGGCTCGTGTTCAATGGGGAACACGACTTTGCCATCTTTGTGAATGTAGACGTCATCCACCAATGCGCTACCGAATACGAAATAGACTGAAAACTCTATTTCGTCAGAGACGCAATCTCCTCTACAGCCACCAGCCAGTTTCTCGTCCGCGGTTTGCCGTCCGAAAGGCATGAAAAAGTCGGGTATTCCTTCGTTATTCTCGGGGCTCACTTTCACCCTGTTTTTAGTTGGCCAATAAACATATTTTCCTGCGGGGTGAAAAAAAAGAAAAAAGGATGAGATACACGAAGAGAAAAGGAAAGTAAAGTTCATGGTTTCACTGATGCAACTATTGTACATCAGATCATCATCGATTCCCGTACCGTTTTAGCGCTCGTCTCCATTAATTGCATCTATGTAAAGTAATCTTGAATGTTGGAATTCCTTTACTGTAAATAAAGATATTTTTTGCATTGAAAAGCTCTCTTCCTGATATCAATAGCTACTTTCTTGTGAGATTTCACTGTATTTTTTAAATCAGAAAGCCGTGCGTAAAGGTACGTACCTAAGGTACCAATAAAGTGCACCGAAATAAAGTAAGGTCTTCGACATAATAGTTATCGGACGGGACGTAACTCTTGAAGAACGTGATGTCTTAAAATAAAATTGTGGAACTAGGCCTTCGATTTTTTTTTAGAGAGAAATCCAGCCTTATTGTCTAAAACTGCAATGAAGCATAATTGTTGGAGTTCTGGGAATTCCCGAACATGGAATAGTTAAGGTGGATCAGTTCTCATAGGAATTTTAACCCTCTTCTTGCAGATGTTCACGTTTTTAGAAGCACGCTGGAATTTAATTTTCACGACAAACGTGATTTAAATATGCAGTGCATCAAAAGTTACTTCAATTATCAATGTAGTAACTCTGCGATATTGTCTCCTTCGATATAGAAGGAAGAATAATGTTCCAAAAATCTTCAATTAAAATCTTTGACAAAGCAATAACTTCTACTGGTCTGAATTTATCTGAAGAAAAAAAAACGTTTTAACTTGTTATTTGAAACAAAAAAGGATAGCTGTAGATTTTAAAGAGTTATAACCGGGAACTGCTTAGAAGTAAAGCTTAGAATCTCATGGGAAGTCTTGATCATCTATTCCAAGGCAGTGTTCCACAACTTATTCGATACAATAATAAAAATTTTAAAAATTGGCGGACCAGCAAGGAAAGCTTCATAAAAATTTTGCAGACTTGAAAACGTTTCGTTTAAAAGGCAGGAATGCAAAAAGTTTCTGATTTTTTACAAACATCAAGTGGAGAACCAAGGAATCAGGTATTGTGGACTGTCTTCAAAAGTTTGAATGGCTGGCTTCGAAAAATGTTTCTCGGAATTTAAAAATTAAAATAATTTATTTCAGCAGGTGACATTTTTTATGAAGTGTGTCATTAGGAGAACTTTTCTTCTGCCCGATACAATTTCAACTGTCGTTGTGTTTCCTTTTTTTTTTGTATTGTCTGAAGTAGTGATGATAAATTTTAAAACGATATGCCTTCTTTTAAAGGCCGCGGCCAGGTGCCTGGCGCCCAACTATTTGGGCTAGATAAAAGACATGCCTTGATTTTTTTATGAAAAGTTCGTGAATGCCCACCTATCTTGTCCGTGTTTGTGAATATACTCAGAAAATTGGCAATTGTTGAGCAGGAAAGTGGAAGAAGAACGTGGTCGAGGAATTTTCTGTACGGAACTAAAAAATATGAAAAGTTCGTGAATGCCCACCTATCTTGTCCGTGTTTGTGAATATACTCAGAAAATTGGCAATTGTTGAGCAGGAAAGTGGAAGAAGAACGTGGTCGAGGGCACCTTCATCCGAATCGTATCCTGGGAATATTAGACCAGCAAATGCCGGCTTTCTTCTGTTGTTCGCACCGGAAATCCATTGCAAATTGTCGTAGTTCAAGATGACGAACGAGTTGTGACGATCAACTGACACAAGGATAGCTTGGAAAGTGTTCTTCAATGTTCTAAAAAAAAGGGTAAGAAAAAACGAAACGTATATACAAGATAACAAGCGTCAGAAAGATGAATTTTCTTTTTCATCATAAATCATTTTACCAACATTCCAATTAGCACAATCAAACCAACGCTGTTGAAAGCGTTCCTCCATGCAACATAAAAATATATGTCTACCAAAATTCAAAAAAATATATTTGGTTTTCAGAAGCCCGCTGAGAGAATATATGAGCCTCTATAAACCAGAGTCATACGAAAAATTAAAGAAAAAAATTGACGAATGAGCGGAAAATAAAATCAAATGAGCTAAAAAAAAAACTTGTGTAAACGAATTCCAAGAACAGTGTGTCTAATCTAATTAAAACACACAGGAATGAAAAATAAAGTACTGTACTGTGCTTTCACGTTTTTCGTCAACCAGTTCAGTACCTATAGTCGTGAATCTCGTGATACATTATTTTTGATTACCTCTCTTGTATGGGTTTCAATTGAAATTTTTGGCGACGACATTGCATTTTGAATAAATATGAGGAAGAATTTTGAAATTACTTTTTGTTTCGGATTAACTACTAAAACCACAGACTTGATTTTTCATCGTCGGTAAGCTGGTGTTGTAAGCGTTCCTCCAACATAAAAATATGTTCAGTAAAATATAAAAAAAATATTTTGTTTTCAGAAGCCCGCTGAGAAAATATATGAGCCTCTATTATAAACCAGAGTTATTACGAAAAATTGAAGAAACAAATTTGACGAACTAGCAGGAAATAAAATCAGTGTAAACTTCACCTTTTGGACCCGAAGGGTTGGACCTGAGACCAAGTGACGATAAGAGCAGACCTCGGTTCCGGTACTTCGGACCTCGGGTAGTACTTGGACACATCTTCTTGAATGCGACGCATGATCCTCGGATCCTGGGTCTGCCGATAACTCACGTAACCTCCGTGTCTCGTGTCGGCGTCCGACCAAAACGGCGCCACTGCGGTGCTCGTCCGCGGATAACAAGAAGGGGCGTACCAACGAACCTTCCTCTCAAATGAAATGATACCATTCGTCGCGATGTAAGCCTTTCTCCACGGAATGCCTCCGAGGGAAAACGGAACGTTGAGGGCAATTTCTGACGAGGTGCAATCATCGCAACTGGGGAGAACAGTGTCGCCAGCATTTGGTCCACTTGGGAGTAATTTTACTTTAGTTATTTCATTTCCGTTCTGATGGTGGTGGTGGTGATGACCACCGTGTTCTCCGCCCGATCCTCCATGACCATGGCCTCCACCTTGGTTGGGTCCTCCTCCTCCTCCGTTGTCGGGACCGCCTCCTTGGTTAGGTCCTCCTCCATGGTTAGAACTTCCATTGTTAACGGTAGTTAGTAACAATTGAGGGTGAAGCAATCCAGGAGGAGGTACCAATCTTGAAGGTAACAATTGGTATCAAAGTAACAATTGAGGGTGAAGCAATCCAGGAGGAGGTACCAATCTTGAAGGTAACAATTGGTAAGTTTCATTGTTAACTCCCACTTCGTTAGGTCCTCCTCCATGGTTAGAACTTCCATTGTTAACCATAGTTTCATTGTTAACTCCCACTTCGTTAGGTCCTCCTCCATGGTTAGAACTTCCATTGTTAACCATAGTTTCATTGTTAACTCCCACTTCGTTAGGTCCTCCTCCATGGTTAGAACTTCCATTGTTAACAATAGTTACATTGTTCATAACTCCCACTTCGTTAGGTCCTCCTCCTTCCGTAGGTGATTTTCCTTCGGCAGGTCCCTCAGTCTCGCCATTTTGACTGGATTCCATGGGCAAAATCGAAGACAATGACAAAACTGGAGGCATTGTGGATGAATCACCCTTCTTCGTCGTGTTTTCCTCACTCGCGTCCGCATCATTTCCGCCATCCGTGCTTTTCGAAGCAGCATTATCTGTAATTTGGGGATCTTCCTGAATCGTTTGTTCAGAAACATCATCGTTATCATCTACGCTGCTACCTGATCCATGTGTTATCTTCACGCCTGGTTCATAAGTTTCGTATGTCGGTGGAGTTCCCTCAGAAGTTGAGAAGGTTTCATCTGCCTGAATAACTAGGAGTAGTCCGCCGAGTGACACAATTGCGATCAAACAAAAAGATCTGATCAACGCCATTATTCCTAAAAAACAGATATAATAGGAAACGTCAATGAATGAAATAATGTCTTTGAAAACTTTGCAGTGGTTTCGAAACACTTGACATTCCAATCATTGTTTTGCTCTGGATTGAAGTATTATCGATCTTTGGATAAAAATGGCAACAGAAACCATTCAGTCACCTTCTTTTTTTAACAACTTTATATAGAAAATAAATAGTTCTCGATATCGCACCTATTTCCCAAATAAAATGCATGAGATTTCTCTGATTATGTCTCGTCCGTGTTTTTGGTAATTTGCTTTCAAAACCTTGAGAAAACTGTGAGGAAAAAGTAAAATTATTTGATTGGTTATACTGTATTCGGATTATTTGCTATACCGTAGAATTGTGTTAGGATGGAAGATTCTTCTATGCAAATTCGTCCTGGAGAAAATTTCAAGAAGTTGAATGAAGTTACTGAGACAATAAATCAAGTCTCTTCAAACTTTCTTCCTAGATTCATATAAGTGTGACAGAGAGTTTTTGTCAAACGTCACGTCGAATGTGATCATAAACCCGAGCGATTGACAATGATCCAAAAAAGATCGGATCATATTTTGACCCAGTTTTTCATCTGGAGACCTGAAAATTAATCAAGCGATTGATCCAATTGGGAGTGAACAAATATTTTCAACTCATTAAAAATGCCATATTCGAAAGTTTTTTTACTTTTTGTATATAAAGGAAGGCAAGCATGACAAGTTGAAATCAACCGAACGTATCTGGTTTGAAGTCCAAGACCTTTTCTGTAGTGGACGGAAAACTCAATTTGAATCTAGTTTTTGAATTCATCTTGGTTTCAAAATCAAATCCTTAAACGGTGAAAAATTTTAAAGATGAAATCCTTTTGTATACATCAGCATCACCTGGCCAGACAGCTTCTCTATCGGAGCATCAATTCATAATCCGGGGGTTTTCCTTTAAAAGAAGACCAAACATTCAAAACAAGTTCAAGGATTAATCTTTACCTTCATTCCAAGCTTATGATTGATTTCGAAGCATTTATACGCCGAAAAACTCACCCAAAATTCTAAAATTTGTATAAGTTCCAACTTCGCAATGCATGTCCGTTGTGTTCCTCCATCTCGGACGTGTGGCTAAAAATCTGTAACTAAAAACGCCTCCAGATTAATCAATGTTCAAGTGTAATTTTGACAAACGTTTGCAATGAAGATCCGGGAATTCCAATCCCCTTCCTACAGGGATCAAATGCAGAGGCAAATCTGAATTTCCAACTCGGCGATAGAGAGACACTGAAACAACTTTTTTTGTCAGATTCATGAATTGCGAACTTTCAACTCCGAAAGCGCTCAAACTCGCAGAAATCCGAAATGCAACGGTTACTCCGAAAAAAGTCGCGGTTTATGTGCAAAATTGACGTCAGTACTGCTCGTATAGAGAGACCAGTACTGGAGAAATCTGACGCGGTTTTACAGACGCCAGAGTACTTGGATTGATGGTGCTTTATACAGGGTTGCTCTCCTTGAAATTATTTGAAATCTTTCTTGATTCCTTTGAGCGATTAAATTGGTTGTTTCGATGGAGGTTTCCCCGCAAAAGCATCTGTAAACATATTGTTTTCGCGAAAATATTCCAAGAAAAACATACTGTTATTCATTCAATTATTTTAATTTCATCGGAACTTCTGGCATTAGATTTTATATTTATCCTTGTGCTGTGATCGAAATGACTTCCAAATTTTAAGGCCCATAATCTACCGTACTCGTGGAAAGATGATCATTTGAAAGATGATTCAATGTCTCGAAATATATACTCATGCTTAAAATCCAGCTCGTTTTTTTTTACTAACTGGAAGACGTTTTTGAATTTCGACCAAAAAACTATTGACCTCGATGCATTGACAAAGAAAGTACAGGTACAGTACGCATCACTACTCTTGTTCGGGAACTCACGTTTAAATTACTGAAAAATAAAATCAGGAAGCTATTTTGTTTGAAATCGTCGAGATGTATATATAGTAGAATATAAATCGTGAAATTTTATGAAAAGTGGTTTGAGTTTTTACCGAACTCCTGAAACCTGTAGTTTTCAGAAAATCTTGGCGAAAGTACTGAACTTTCTTTTCAAAAAAATACTTGTGGAACTGACGTCAGTCGAGTACTGACAATTTTTGATGTTACTTTTTTTTGAAATTCAACCTTGAGAGTTGATTGCAGCAAGTTTGATTTTCGGCGCAACAGGTAGAAGTTTCAAGATTTAATGTTCATGAAAATCGCTGATTGAAGGTCCATTGATTCTGGGAGATTTCTCACTCATCAATCGGCAAGATTTTCATGACAGAATCGACGAAATAATTAAATTTTGCGAATCCGGTTCATGACGAAACGGAAGAAATCAAACGAAGAGAGACGAATAAATTTTTATCTATTTGACCTCCCGTTTTTTCTTCAAGATCTTTAGCAAAACATCCAATGTTCCAATGGGAATGCGAGGAATTTGCACTCACGCATTTTCAATATGCATAAACACTTCCTTTTATTAGATTTTTCAGCAGATATTTGATATTTTTCCCATCATCGATTCTCGACACCATGATCATCATCATTTTTTGTCAGTGATGACAAAATAATCGCGTTGAAATCGAAATACATTTCCATTTTTCCTCATCGTTCATTCATACACCACAATAACAGTTTCAAAACCCATTCTGGAACGAAAGCTTCTTTCAAACTTTTCCCCACTCCGAACCTTTTTTTTTTTTTTTGTGGAATTTTCCGAGTGATTTCTGAAAATTTTTCGAAGCCTCGAGATCATCACGCTAAGATTCAACATCAATGGAACTCAAACGTCTTCAAAAAAAAAGAACATGAATCCGAAAGGACTGAAAAATCACGCAGAACTTCGGCGACTAGTCCTCGTAAATTCCACGAGGAAAGAGAAAACAGTTAACAAAGGGAGAAAAACATGGATTCCACTTTTTTCTGCCGAATTTGACATAAAGTGGTCGTTTTCGGAACGGGTGAAATTCCTGAAAGCTGCGGATTCTTCAAATAAATTGACTTCTTTCGGAGTCGGAGCGTAAATAATTTCATCGTCGTCTTCATCCAGGTTTCCGTGTCTTGAATTTCCTTCATGCATTTTGTGATTATGCTTGGATTTGCTCGATTTGTTGGATCTCTGGTTGCCGTTCTTATTGTGATGACTCGGCTTCGTATCTGAAATTGGAAAAAAGAAAACCCGATTAAAAAACACGATTCAGAAATTTTTAAACGCTATTCACATACCCTGGAGTCTGATGGAAGTTTCGGCATCACCGAAAGTGTTCTTGGCAACGCAGTAATAATATTCGAAGTCGCTGGGATTGAGATTTTTGATGGTCAAGCGAAGTTTGATTTCCGAATAGGGTTTTGCGCTCGGTATTTCGATTGTTTCGTGCTTCAGGCTTGAAGATGTCATCGGTAGCATAACTTTTCCTGCTGTCAAAATGAATCATACTGATAAAATCGAAAAGTTTTGAGCCGATATCAGATGCGCGAAGGCCGAAAAAGGATCAAATTTTCAACCTTTTCAATTGTTCCGACAAAAAAAAAATTGGAGGAAAACCCTCCTCTCTTTCCAGCAGTTTAACTAGGAATATAAAAATAGAAAACAACTCTCGTTATACCCCGTACTGCAAAAAAAATACAGTGCACTAATACAGATCACGATTTCGATAAATCAAATGAACAGTCGTTTCGCGGGCCGCGGAATTTGCAGTTTGGTACAGCGACACCTATATCAGCATTACTAAAACTAGCGACTGAATGTAGCTATTAACTTGAAAGTAGATGTCGCAATGTTTGCCGCGCTGGTACCTCATCCGGACTTCACACAACTCGCACCGGAATTCCAAAATACTGTACTTGTATACAGCGTACTGTAATTCCATTGCTCATCCCGACGGAAGCGAAAATGTAATTGACCTTTTGCATTTTGAAACCTAACGCTTGAAAGGGTTCCAAATTTCATGATCTCGCTCTGTGTAAAATATGATCAACTTGCATATACAGTATAGAACTCGTGATCTGATCAGCAACAGGTTCTCGTCGGCTCTGAATAATACATAAAAGCCCCGGATGCCAAGTAGAGCAACGTGAGACTAATACACTCTTTGAATAGTTGACATGACCGAGTTCCGCACGAAGTTTTCTTCGTAAGTTTCTCAGTGATGCCGTGAATCCCGATGAA